GAGGGAGGCAGAGATAGCCCTCAGAGTTTTCTAACCTAAAGATTTCTTCCCGAACACTCGAACCGTGTTCTACTTCAGTGTCCCCACAGGGCAGTGAGTGTCACACGGGACTGGCTCAAGAGGAAGACTCTTATCCCATGTCACTTTCCAAGGACAAGATCTGCACAGTTTCTCTTGGCACATCATCTAGGCATTGCTATGGGTCTCTCGCCCTCGGCTGGTTTAAATTCTCAGAACTTTGTTCTACCCCAAACCTTACTTCCTTCTGCTTCTATTCTAGAACTTCTATGACTCCAGCACAGCAGACTCCAGGGAGCAGCCCCTCGATGACGCCTGCCAGGATCCCCTCTGCATGCAGCACAGCCCCACCCTCTCTCTTCAGCCTCTGTGCCTCTTCCTGGGCCTTCTCCGGGTCTCTTGGATCCTCCTAGACACTGGGTATCCAGTCTTGTGGTCAGTCAAGCATGCTGCAGCTTAAAAGAGTCAAAGCTTCTATGCTCTGTCTGGCTGAGCCCCAGCCATGTGGGAGACCATTCTCCAGGCAGGTAGTTACATGATGTCCCCTTTGGGGGAGAAGCCCTGACATATTTAAGGAACTTTTAAAAGCAACTAAAGAATCTGTTCAAAGAATGTTAGGAGTGGTAAGGGTTTGAATTGTGTGACTTAAAATCCATATACAGAGATCCCAGCACTCGGGAGGCAGAGGCAGGTGGATCTCTGAGTTCAGGGCCAGCCTGGTCTACAGAGCAAGTTCCAAGACAGCCAGGGCTACACAGAGAAACCCTGTCTCAAGGCTGAGGGGAGGTCATACTGGAGGAAGGTAGCCTTTGCTCTTTGCTCCAATATGACTTGTAGCCTTGTAAGAGAAGAGATGCTTGTGGAGACAGATATATACACAAAGGAGAAACCATGAGAAAATATAGATACAACTTGGGAGGTAGAGACAGGAACATCAGAAGCTCAAGGTCACGAGGCTTAATTCCAGCACTTGAGAGGAAGAGGAAGGCAGATCTCTGTGAGTTCAAGGCCAGCCTAGTCTACATAGTGAGTTCCAGGACAGCCAGGGCTACATAGTGAGACCCTGTGAAAAATCAACAATGATGTTCAAGGTCCTCCTCAGCTATAGAGTTCAAGGTCAGCCTTGGCCTGAGATACCTAACACACACACACACACACACAGAGAGAGAGAGAGAGAGAGAGAGAGAGAGAGAGAGAGAGAGAGAGAGAGAGAGAAAGAAAGAGAGAGAGAATGGAAGCAAAGACTAGAACGATATAACTAACCAGGGAATGAAAGATGGTTAGCAACCAGAGGAGAGAGAGTGTGGCTATCTATCAGCACTTTGAGTGTTGATTTCTGTCCTGCTGAACTATGAGAGGATATGTTTCTGCTGTGCCTGGTATAATAACCTTATTATGCCGGGCGGTGGTGGCGCACGCCTTTAATCCCAGCACTCGGGAGGCAGAGGCAGGCGGATCTCTGTGAGTTCGAGGCCAGCCTGGACTACCAAGGAGTTCCAGGAAAAGGCGCAAAGCTACACAGAGAAACCCTGTCTCGAAAAACCAAAAAAAAAAAAAAAAAAACAAAAACAACCTTATTATACCGTAGGAAACTAATACACAGTGAACACAATGTACCCCACAAAGAGTGGGGACAAAAGAGTAAAGTACAGAACTCAAAACATATGGCAGTGAACTTGATGACTAGGATTGTTGTCCATGCTAAGTACCTAAAAGATTATTCAGGCTTAAACAGATATTTCTCATCTATCTATCTATCTATCTATCTATCTATCTATCTATCTATCTATCTATCTATCTACCTATCTATCTATCTATCTTTCTATCTATCTACCTATATATCATCTACTATCTATTTATAGACAGGGCTTTCTATATCCAAAATGGCCTTAAGTTTACTGTGTTGCCAGGTGATGGTGGCGCACACCTTTGATTCCAGCACTTGGGAGGCAGAGGCAGGCAGATATCTGTGAGTTCAAGGCCAGCCTGGTCTACAAAGTGAGTTCCAGGACAGCCAGGACTGTTACACAGAGAAACCCTGTCTCTGCAAAACAAAACAAAAATGTTTACTGTGTAACTGAGGATAACCTTGAACTTCTGACCCTCCTGCCTCCATCTCCCAAGTGCTAAGATTATGTGTATATTCTGCCACAGTTGGTTTATATGATGCTTGAGATTGAGCCCTGGGCTTCATGCATGTTAGGTTAAACACTCGATCAACTGAGCTATATCCCCAGCCCCTAAACAGCATGATTATGTCATACATACCCCAAATTCACCTTGAGTAACTCTGGTTCTTAAAATACTAATAGTTCATTTTCCTATATAAAGTTAAACTAGTTAGACTGACATTACAGAGATTTATTAGGGAATGAGTATTTCCTGTTTCTAACTCGAGTCTGGATAGTGGTAACACCGTTTCACAATCTCATCTCGGCTGAAAGCCCTCTAAAGGGAAGGCCAGTCTCCCAGGCAGATGCCCTGATGATTCAGCTAACTACACACAGTTAATAGTTAATCTCAGGCTCATCTGCTGGCCGCTGTACATCCAGCACAGGACCACTTAGGAAAGGAAAGTGATACTCATCCTGCTTTCTAAAGGCTCTACCAAGAGAAACCTTATCTCAGCCTTTCAGAGGCCTAATCAATAAGCCAGGGACTGGGGTTCATGGTGAAGCCTTCACACCACTTCCTAACCAACGCAGCATGTGTCCGGGGAAAGCCACCTGCTTCGCTAGGTCATCGTTCGCTGCCCTCACCTATTGCAGGTAAGACAACATTCTGGTTCTCCAAATCCTAGGATACTTTGCTGCTATTGGTCTGTAAATAATCGTTGGGACTACTGCTTCCTTCACCCGTGACATATCAAGACATGGCATTGGCAAACGTTAAGAGCCAGTAAGGTACCAGAGTGCCACGGTTGTATCCTTGTGTGTCAAGGGGTTGGCCGACCAGGCTGCACTTTGTCCCTTCTATCATCCTGCTCGGACAGCTGGAACTCTCGGCTAGAAACGTACCGCACAGATGAAGCAGGTGTCATGCCAGGTGTGGCCCAGGGCTTCAATAAACTTGTCGCCAGCTTCCACAGGAAAATCACATCCGTGACACTTGGTGCTGAACAGATTGATGTAGTCTGAAATCAAAGTCAAAGTGAGGCAGGCAAAAAGAGCAATCGGCTACATAGACCCAGGACCGGGACAGCCCCCACATGAGTGGGCTGGGGGAGCGAGCTTTGTCATCTCAAACAAAATACTCACTTATGTGATTGATTTTGTTTTTCACTTTTTTGGGAATTTATACCAATGTTGTATTGGCTTAGACTTGGACTTAATTACCACCTTGTGCTAGCTTGATCTGAAAATTCTTTCTGGTATCGTCATGAACTTCCTTGGGGGTGATTGTTTCTTTTATCTCTGTCTCCTCTGGTAGCCCAAAGAAGTCAATCCCCAAACAGGAATTTAAAAAGTATTCTTTATTGCCCATTCACTAGGCTTATTTTGGAAGAATGAGGGTCTTTTTTTTTTCTTTCAGATTTTATTTTATTTTTAGTTTTGTGTGTATACATGAGCCCAGGTGTCTACAGAAACCAGAAAACATTGTTGGATCCCACAGAGCTGGAGTTTGTAGGCTGTTAAAGCACATTATGTGGGTGCTGGGAACAGAACTTGGGTGCTCTGAGCAGTATGTGCTCTTTTTTTCTCCCATCTTTTTGTTTTGTTTTGTTTTCAAGACAGAGTTTCTCTGTGTAGCCCTGGATGGCCTGGAACTCGCTCTGTACTACACCAGGCTGGCCTTGAACTCAAAGACCCACCTGCCTCTGCCTCCCAAGCCCTGGGGTTAAAGGCGTGTGTCATCACAACCTGGCCAGTTTGTGCTCCTAGCTGCTGAGCTCCCTCTCCAGGCCCAAACTCTTTAAGGGGTTTTTTAGATTTTATTTATTTATTTATTTATTTTTGGTTATTTGAGACAGGTTTCTCTGTGTAGCTTTGGAGCCTTTCCTGGAACTCACTCTGTAGACCAGACTGGCCTCAAACTCACAGAGTTCTGCCAGCCTCTACCTCCCTAGTGCTGGGATTAAAGGTGTGTGCCACCACTGCCCGGATATTTTTTATTATTAATTATGTGTATGTGTGTGTGTGTGTGTGTGTGTGTGTGTGTGTGTGTGTGTGTGTGTGTATGGGGGATATTATATGCACATGAGTGCAGGTACCCATGGAGGCCAAAAGAAGGTGTTGGGTCCCCAAGAACTGGAGTTCCAGACAACTGTATGCTCTCTGACATGGGTGCTGGGCAGTGAACTTGGGGTCTCCGTAAGAACTCTATGTCCTCTTAAGCATGAGCCACCTCTGCAGTCCGTCTTTGAGACTCTTCAGTAATTCTAGAATGGCTTTTGCTTGACCATTCTTCTGTCACTGAGCATTCATGGTGACAACAATTTTTAACTACTACAAACCCTATTTGAGCTACTTGACTTGTCCTCCTGCTCCTCCCCCAACAAGGGAGATAATACTACAAAATGCTCTTCATAAACTATACTGACTACTTTCCTAACGACAGTGCTGTGATGTGAATGGGTCCCCAGGTTCACACGTTGGAAGCCTACTCCTTACTGCAATAGTGTTGGGAGGCAGAGCCAACTGGAGGCATTTAGGTCATACGGCCTCTATTTCTTGAATGAATTAATGTTATTATTGAGGGACTAGGTGCAGAAGGAGTGGGATTCTTATAAAATGAGCCTGCCTCCCATTGCCCGTTTTTTTTTCTCTCTTTTGCCCCGCACACCTTCTGCATAGGATGATGTAAGAAGACCCTTAGCAGGTGTGACCTCTTGACCATGGACTTCCCAGCCTTCAGAAGCATGAGCCAAATACATTTCTGTTTATTGTAAATCCCCCTGCCTCAGACGTTTGGTTACACTAGAACATGATGGACTAAGGCAGGTGACTTTCCTTACAAGAACCTTAGCATCAAGAATCACACCTTACTTTTGTTTGTCCTTTCAACATAACAGCTAGTTGGTGGCCAGTACTCAAAGTACGGGTGTAAATCAGTAAATAGTGAATTCACCACATTTGTGGCCAACAAGTGGGTTAGTAAACAGTGAACAAATCTGATCTTCACAATGTCTCACACAGACGGACTTTTTTTTTTTTTTTTTTTTTTTTTTTTTTAATTTTGGTCTCGTTTTGCGGATGAAGAAATTGAGACTCAAATAAAGGTCACAGTCCCACACCTGAGGCCTCATCATGTCTGTGCTCCTTTCTCAGAGCACATTCTACTATACGACTATAGACATTTTCTCGATTTTTCTAGAAGAGTTCCATCCCTTTGAAGACTTCATTCCTCTCTGCGTTCCCCAGCTCCCCAGATGTCCTTGTCTCTCCACTGCTCTACCACAGCTGGCTGGGTTCTGTTCACCTCCTGTGGACAGTATGTCTATTCATCGTCTCAGACCACACACTGAGAGGCAGGATGCCATCAAGCTTACAAACATGGAGTGTGAAGAAAGAAAAGGCTAGTTCAAAGTCCAGCTCCATTAAGGAATTCTTTAAACCTGGGGCAGCTTCTTAGAACTGCAGCCTTCCTATCTATATAACTACAGCACCAAACTCGGGGGACTTATCACTATTGACCAGGTAAGAAAAGCATGAAGTATTTGGCGTAAACATTAACTGTTGGCTCCTATTTTAGAACTCTTCATAAATGGTTAAAGGGGAAGAGAACCCATCCATTATTCATCCATCCATCATTCTTGAATGTCCATGCCAGTACACTCCACATTAATGACTTCGCTTAAGATTCCTTTTAATATTTATTTATTTTATGTATACTGATATTTTGTTTGCATGTATGTCTGCACACTGGAAGAAGGGATTGGATCCCATAGAGAGTTGTCAGCAGCCATGTGGGTGCTGGGAATTGAACTCAGGACCTCTGGAAGAGCAGCCAGTGCCCTTAATCACTGAGTCTCTAGCCCAAGATTGTTTAAAGTTTCCTATTACTATTATTAGTGTGTATGACTGTGCCACGGAGTTTGTGTGCAGGTCAGAGGACAACTTACGGGCTTGGCTCTCCCCTTCTACTTTATGTGGATTACAGGAACCACATTTTGGCAGCCAAGCTTTCCTGGCAAGCACCTTTACCCCCTGAATCATTTTGCTGGTCCCTGCTTAAGGTTTTTGAGGACAGAGATCTCACAGAAACGGATATAGATTATACATTCAATATATGTTCTATGGTTAAAAGATGAACAGAAGAAACAAAAATGCTTCAACTAGCCTTATTAAATAGTAATTCCTCCCCTCGCTTTTTTTTTTCATAAATTCGTTCTTAAAACAGCTTGAATCTACTTCTGGAAATTTTAGTCTTGCTTACTGATTGATTTTTCTATTTTAAACTTGATTTTGTGTAATCTGGAAGCTTTGCTTTAAAAATTGATAGCACAGATTGACTAATATTATTTTTTAAAAAAAACATTGGCATTTTCATTTACTCTATAAAGGGAGACTCTCACTAATAATCAGCCTCCTTGTTCTTTCTCATCTGATTTTCTGGTGCTGCTGTTCAGCCTCCAAGTCTGTGTTGCCCTTATAGAACCCTGCCTCAGAAAGAAGCAGGCTGTGAAGGAAGGAGGGAGGGAGGGACTGAAGAGCCCGCCAGCCAGGATGCCTGTGACTCCTGAAATTACCACAGTTCCCCACATGTTACACAAACACGTTACACTTCCAGGTACAGAGAGATGGAAGGAAGCCTGAAAAGCACCACAGGCAGGGAGGAAAGAGCGCTCTCCATTCCACACCTCGGCCCTTCCTGCTTCCATCCTCATAGCAACTCCACAAGGCAGGTGTTTACAATCTCCCGGAAGTTTAGCAGCTTTACTCAAGGTTACAAAGTCATCTCAGGGTAGAGCCAGGAATTGAATCTAGGATGCGGTCTAGAGCCAAGGCCCCCCTTCTTCAGACTAGACCCCTAAGATGACATCTAGAGCCAAGGTCCTTTTCAGAGTAGACCCCTAAGATGACATCTAGAGCCAAGGTCCTTTTCAGAGTAGACTCCTAAGATGACATCTAGAGCCAAGGTCCTTTTCAGAGTAGACCCAAGTTTCCAAGTCAATATAGCTTGAAAGATTTCTCAAGTAGTTAGGGAACCAATGTGTGACTCAAATATTAGAAACAGGGAAGGGAGCAGAGACTGGTGTATAAAGTACATTGTAACTCTGACTGCTTTTCCCCAAAAGCTGAAACCAAATGAGCAGGGGGATTAGTTCAGCTAATGTATAATAGCATGATTCAGCCATTAAAAACAAAATCAGGAGCTTGTGTGAAGCCCTTGGTTTGATTCCCAGTACCGCACATGCAACAAAATGCACAAAACCCCTTCTTTCCCCGACAGTAGGATGCGGGTGGACACAGGCGGGACTTAGTTTTCTATGCCTGCCTGTCAACCCAGATGGGAGATGGTGCAGGGTCTTCCAGCATGGTGTCCCATTGCATCCTCTCTGTACCACATCTCACATGCTTACCTTTCTCACAGTACGGCTCTCCATCCTCCATGTGGAAGAGGCTGTTTCCAAAAGGTTTCTTGCAGGCTGCACAGACGAAGCAGGTGGTATGCCACGTCTGTCTCAGAGCGTGCATCACTTCCTGGAGGGGAAAAAGAAAAAAATCCAAGTTCAGGACAGAAAATATCCCAGGGGAAAGGGAGCTTGGCTTGGCTTCTGAATCAGGCCTGGCTGCTGTCCAAGTAGCCTAGGGAACAGGGCAGGAGGGCTCACAAAGCAGGTGCTGGGGAAGGCAGGGGAGGGTGGAGAAGGGAGGTCCTGCTTATCGGGGCCACTTTGCCCAAAGGGCACTGAGAGTGAGGGCCACAGGTGGATGAGCAGTGGCCAGGCTGTGAAGCAAGGGCTTGCTTTGCAGAGCGCCAGCACCATTCGAAGCTGGTGGCATATGTGTATGCCATTGCTTGCCCCAGCTAACTAGTTCCCTGGCTCAGTAGTTAGGGGGAAACTGATTCCATTCTAGGATGGAAACGGAGTTGCCTTCTCTGTTACCAGCAACTTATTGATAGGGTTTCTAGCGGGACCCCAAAATCTTACGGGAAGGGAAGAAGTCGGTCCAGGTGAAGAAAAGACAAGGGTCGAAAGAGAGGGGTGCTGCCCACTTACCCCCATGATCTTGGTGTTGCACTTGGCACAGAGTGGGGCAAAAAACTGCTCGTAGCACCGTTCGCAGTAAACATTGTTCTGCTCCTCCACAAAGCACACATCTGCCAGGGAGTTCTTGCAGTAGGCACAGTTGAACTCTTCTGGATGCCAAGAGCGACCCATGGCTACCAGGAAAGGGCCCCTGGCATGGCAGAGAACAGCACGAAAGTGAGCCCCAGAAATTAGGACCAGATCTTTTAAGAACCCCAACAATCTTCACACGTTTACCTAGTGATGCCCACTTTGAGGGTCCTTCTAACGAAATAACATGTAATTCTGAGAAAGCTCCACGCAGAAAGACGTCCATTGTCATGTCGGTAACAACAAACAGAACCGGAAGATGGGCATGGGGGTGCACACCAGCACTTGGCAGGCAGCTCTCTAAGAGTTCAAGGCCAGTCTAGTCTACACAGTAAGTTCCAGGCTAGCCAGGACCACACAGGAGACTCTGCCATAAACAATCTGACACCTAACCAACAGAACCTGGACGCAATTCAGTATCTACCACAGAGGACCGAGCAAACACGTCCCAGGATTCAGTTCATCACAGGTTATTCTGTGAGCAGTGATGACCGGGGCCAGCTTTTATTAACTACTGAGTGCTCGGTGCTCTTCCAGAACAGTCTTACATTTGTAACAGTTCTATGAGGGAGGAACTATTGCGATGCCTGAGAATCAGTAAAGAAACAGAAGCACGGGAAGGCCCAGGAACTCATTCAAGGTCCTGGAGCCAGGAAGCGGCAGACTGCACACACACACGATGCTTCCGTTTCAGATTAGTGTTCAGAGCATCAGAAGTGCCAGAAAACTTCACGTTCTGATTTTTTTAGTTCCGTGTTTTCTAGTTCTCTGCTTGTTTGTTTGTTTTTTTGTTGTTGTTTTGTTTTGTTTTTCTTTTTTGTTGTTGTTTTGTTTTTGAGAGGATCTTACTTTCTAGCCCTGGCTAGCCTGGAACTAGCTTTTAGAAGAGTCTAGCTTTGAACTTACAGAGATATTCCTGTTTCTGCCTCTCTAGTGCTGGGGACCAAAGGTGTGTACCACCATGCCTGGCCCCTGTTTGTTTTTTAAAGAGTATGCTTTTCACATATGGAAGCACATACCATGCATATACTCAGACAAACTGCATTTAATAAGCATGGCCTGAGACCCCTGAAATATATATATATATATATATATATATATATATATATATATATATATATATATATATATTTTTTTTTTTTTTTTTTTTCCCAAGACAGGGTTTCTCTGTGTATCTCTGGCCATCCTGGAACTCACTTTGTAGACCAGGCTGGCCTCGAACTCATGACTTCTAAAGAAAATTACTTGCTTTAATTTCAGTGAAGTGTCTATCAGAGCCTTAAGAGGCATGGGACTGTCTGTAGAAAGATCCAGAAGCAACTCTATAGGAAAGCTGGGTCAAAACCAGCACTGTCATCCAGCTTGCAACGTGCTCAATAAACCTACTGACAACAAGGCTGAAGATTCCCAGAACCCAGCCTTAGCCCAAGGGGGAGCTCCTGGCACCGGGCACCAAGCTGGGAGCTTCACCCACTTACCTCATGGAATCCTCCCAACTCCCCAGGGATGTGGGTGTCACACAGGCATGGAAGCTAAAGCTAATAGAGGTGAGCCCGAGAGACCCGAGGCTGCCCTGTGGGGCCGGCCTTTTGCCTCTATCTGCCCTCCCAAAGCCCGTACCTGATGACATTGTTGCAGTGCCCACAGAGGGGAGCCCGGCTGCTGGCTGGGAAGCGCTCAGCTCTCTGGAAGGTGCCCCTGGTGAGAGGGGTCACCTGTGGACCTGTTGGGTTGTAGGCTGGAGCTCCCCGGGGCAGGGTCTGCTTGCTGACAGAGGTAGTGCTCTTTCCAGGAGCAAACTTCTGAGAGAAGTTGTCATCGGTCACCCAGGGTGGGCGGCTGGCAGACTCAGCAGGGCCCCCACCGTAGGCTGCTGATGGTGTGGGGTTATAGTTTGGAGCAGGGGACGGGGTATAAGCTGGTGCAGGGGAGGGGGAATAGGTGGGAGCAGGGGAGGGGGTGTAAGCAGGAGCAGGGGAGGGGGTGTAAGCAGGAGCAGGGGAGGGGGTATAGGGAGTGGGACTGTAATTGGCTCCTGGGGACGGGCTGTAGGTAGATGCAGGCACTGTAAGCCAAAAACACCCAAAGAATACGCGTTAGGAATTCTTTCTCCCTCATCCGTCGCCCCAGCCAGAGAACCATAAAAGATGAGCTTAATATTGGAACAGTATAACTCCAATTGTTAAAGGAGAGGTAGGTGTTCGTGTGTGTGTGTGTGTGTGTGTGTGTGTGTGTGTGTGTGTGTGTGTGTTGGAAGGAATCCAGGAACTCAAGTACACTAAGCAAATGCACTACCACTAAGCTACAGACCCACATGCCTGAACTTCTCAGTGAACCAGATTTTCACTCTCAGCAAGAGCCTGGATAAACAAGGGTGGCAGCAGAGCCCTGGGGAGCCTTGCACAGGCCCCAGGAGGAATGTAGCTGTAAATATTGTGGCTGTTCAGGGTGGGGTTCTGCCAAGCTTTGGCTACTCTGGTCCTATAAAAGATGGGGAGCAAGATTAGGGAGTGTCTGGACAGGAAGTGGGTAAGAGCCGGTCAACTCAGCCTGGAGTGGAGGATGTTTCAGTGGGGCCCTGGATGGTGATCTGACTCCCAGACATCCCAATCAGAATGTGTTTGCTCTACTTGTAACTAGTCTAGTCTTCAAGACAGAGCAGATGTCCAGGAAGCTGGGTTCTCAGGTTCATGTTTCAAGTTCATCTACTATCGCTGTCTTGAAAATAAGGTTTGACTTGATTTGTGCTGGGAAGAAATTCTGTCTTGATTTGATAGGTTGCCACCTATCCTAGTCACTCAGTGAACCTGGGCAGAGGTGTGAGCACCATGCAGCCCAGGGCTAGCTGCTCAGTTGGTCTTTGGCTGGCCCTGCCAGGTCCCTGCTCCCTTCTCCTGCTCACCAACATCACCCTGTGCAGACTGAGAGTGCACATGACCCCCTAGAGGTTACCATGAGGGACAAGAATGGATTGCACTCCCACTGAAACCTCCTGCTTGCCTCCTCCGAGAGTGGAGAAACTGAGTTCATCACACAGAAAGGGCATTGTAGTTGCTAACATTCTGCCAGGGCCCTCACAACCCAAGATTGCGCTGTAGAGAACCCCACTGCAGAGACAGCTGAAGAGATATAGCTGTGTGTCCTGAGCACCTGGTCAGCCAGTTCTTTGACTATAGCAAAGATGGTTCTAGAAAGCCTCACCTCTGTTCCCAGTCTATTCTTCTGGGCAGAGCACTATTTTACCAACAAGGAAGCATTTCGTGATAGCCTCCCTGCCCACATCCAAGGGGTGAGATGGATTGTACTGAAGCAGTTCTCTCTGGATCACAGCTGGTCTCAGAACCGTGACCCTGTCTGGTCTCTTTTTCCCATCGGGTGCCCTGAGCCATCTTGGGTGGCTCCAACTCTATGCCTATTATTCCCAGATGACTGGTACTTCAGAACTGGGAAGTGCAGAGCACCTATGTATCCCCTTGCTAAACCCTCCACAGCCCTGCCCTAGAGTGATACTGGCTCCCAAAGGTGGATTCTCCAGCTGGAGTCTTCCTCCTCCCTTATGGGTGAGGCACATAGCAGGTCGGTCAACTGAGTCAGATTCGGCATTATTCCCTTTTACACTCGAGGGCTTGACAGCTCAGGGGAAGTGGCAGAGCAAGACTGTAAACCTTCCTAAACCCCAGGCTGCCTCTCTAAAGAACACAAATCCAACTTCCATTGGCGTACAACATCACGGAGAAGTCACGTTTAACACCCAGAGGAGACCCCGTGCTCTGGAAGGAAGCACAGTCCTAATCCGAGGCTTGGGACTCAGTGCTTAGAGCACCTGCCTGGCATTTTTGAGACTCTGGGCTCCCTACCTAGACTTCTCCCTCAGGAGAGCCCTGGTTTCACACTCTTCTAAGACTTTCTGGCCGTGCATCCTTGAGTAAATAAATTCATTAACCTTTCTGAGCCTGTTTCTTCATCTAAAAATGATATTGAAATAACTGTAAGGATTGAAGAATGTAAGAAACACAGTGCTTAATTAAGTACCTGATACAGTGTGTGTGTGTGTGTGTGTGTGTGTGTGTGTGTGTGTGTGTGTGTGTGTGG